AATAAAAGCAGACAACATCTCTGGAAGGGTTAATCTTTGAAATGAATTATTGAATTATGAAGCCCCTGGCTCCCAGAGATGAAATGAATGCCTGGGGAAGTGGGCATCATTGTGCATGATTCCCAGCAGCTGGGAATTCCAGGAACTGTTCAGCTCTGGTTTCTCCCAGTGAAGGTAAGAGAACACTCATGGGGATATCATTTTGGGGGTTTGGTTTAGAAACTGTTTGGGCCACCTGCTTTATGGTAGTCTGTCTAGGGGCTCAGGCATTGGTCCTAGTCTGAAAATTTCTATCTGGGACTACCCTTTGTACTCAGACACTAGCAGTTCAGTGTGGTGATTAAATCTGCATTTCAATCTTGGAGCTCAATGTGAGGTCTATTCTGGGGGTTGAGTTTGGGCTTAGGCTTTGGGAGTTTAGTCTTGGACACATCAATCTGGCCATCCGAATACTCAACCTAGTTTGAAATGTTTGCCCTGGAGTAGGGTACTTACACTGGGAAACATGGAAGTATAAAGCATCATGCATAGTTTGGGGTGTCTGTGTATTTGGATGTGACCTGGAAACTCAAACTGAGGTGCTTAATCTCAGTATCTTCGTTGGGACCTCTGAACTTAATCTAAGTTGCTGAGTCTAAGGAAATGAGGCTCTGGAGCTCTGGAGGAGCCTATGCCTCCTGAAATTCTCAGTCTGGGGATACTGGTAATTATCAGCACACAACGTATTTTTTCCCGTCTCTGTGTATTCAAACATTGTTTCCTCTGCACGGAAGGCTCTTTTCTCCTTTTAGTAACATACCCTTCCCCCATACACACAAACTCCCCATCACCTGAAAAAATTCCACTCAAACGTTACAAATCAGCTCACGCATCATCTCCGAAATGATTGCCACAACCCCCAAGTCTGGGTCAGAGGCCCTCTGCTGGACTCCCATGGGCCCCTGTGCTCCTTTCTCCTCTAACATTGCACAGAGATGATTATAACTAAAAAGCTTAAGTCTCAGGGCCCCACACTTACACAGGCCACTTCCAAATCTCTGGTTATTATTATTATTTTTTTTGTCCTTTTTGTGACCGGTAAGGGGATCGCAACCCTTGGCTTGGTGTCGCCCGCACCACACTCAGCCAGTGAGCGCACCGGCCATCCCTGTATAGGATCCAAACCCGTGGCGGGAGCGCTGCTGCGCTCCCAACGCCGCACTCTCCCGAGTGCGCCATGGGCCCGGCCCAAAATCTCTGGTTATTTAGCATGGTCAATTTGAAGAGTATTTAAGATTTGTCACTGCACAAGAAAAGTTAAAATGCCCTGAAGTCTTGCAGCTCACGTACAAGAAACTAGAGGTTTTCCCAAATTTGACAACAGTCTTAAAATTTACATTACTAGTAACAAGTTATGAAATTGTAACTTTTCTAAACTACTATAATAAAAAATTTGATCAACTGAATTGAATTAAAATCAATTGAATACTTTGTATTCTCTCTAAAAAACATTATAAAATAATAGTCACATAAGGAGGATATTAAAGAGTTTATAGCCAAAAAAAGGTAGGAAAAATTAGTAGAGAGATGAATCAGGCAATTAATAATACTTTTATTTTTCTGGATTTTTTCTTTTCTTTTTTTTCTTACCTTCATGCAAAGGAGCAGAATATTTTTCTGTATTTAAAAATATTTGTAGCATTTGTCAGTTATTTACAAATTTGTAATTTGTAAAATGTAATTTCTTTTGTAATTCTAAGGAAATATTCTCATACCTAATTTTGTACTATTTTCTTAAAGAGGGCTTGCAAAAGGCCGGCCTGTGGCTCACTCAGTAGAGTGCAGTGCTGATAACACCAAGGCCACCGGTTCGGATCCTATATAGGGATGGCCGGTTTGCTCACTGGCTGCCCCCCGTGCTGACAACACCAAGCCAAGGGCTGAGATCCCCTTACCGGTCATCTTTAAAAAAAAAAAAAAAAAGAGGGCTTGCAAAATTGCATGTGATTTGGGCCCTTTAAAACCTAGATTCAAGGGCTGGCCTGGGGTTCACTTGGGAGAGTGTGGTGCTGACAAGTCAAGGGTTAAGATCCTCTTACCAGTCATCTTTAAAAACAAACAAACAAACAAAAACCTAGATTCACCCTGGGCACTGATCATAGTCTATTATCATTGGACAGTCTTGCATGCCAGACTGGGAGGTCCTGGAGCGTCTCATCAAATTCCATGACCCAGCAGCGTTCAGCACAGAAGTGTTAGTATTGTTTGTTAACACAGTCTGGTCCAAAGTTTGCAACCTTTGCTGTCTGAGGTAATCACCTATGATATGTTTCTAAAACATCTTTATTATGGGCCGGCCCTGTGGCTCACTCGGGAGAGTGCGGTGCTGGCAGCGCCAAGGCTGCGGGTTCGGATCCTATATAGGAATGGCCGGTGTGCTCACTGGCTGAGCATGGTGTAGACGACACTGAGCCGAGGGTTGCAATCCTCTTACCAGTCAAAAAAAACCCCATCTTTATTATTATTATTATTATTTTTTTTTTAAAAAAGATGACCGGTAAGGGGATCTCAACCCTTGGCTTGGTGTTGTCAGCACCACGCTCAGCCAGTGAGCTAACAGGCCATCCCTATATGGGATCTGAACCCGGGGCCTTGGTGTTATCAGCACCGCACTCTCCCGAGTGAGCCACGGGCCGGCCTTAAAACATCTTTATTGAGATATTATTTACATACCATATATTTTACCCATTTAAAGTCTACAGTTCTATGGTTTTTAGTATATTTACAGACTAAACTGTAAGGCTACTGTAACAAAATACCACAGACTAGGTGGCTTAAACAACAAAAATTTATTTTCTCATAGTTCTGGAGGCTAAAAGTCCTCGATCAAGCTGTCAGCAGGTTTGGTTTCTTCTGATTTCCTCCTTGGTTTTCTCCTTGGCCTTCTCGCTGTGTTCACTTGGTTGTCTCTCTGTCTGGGTCCTAATCTCTTCTTTATAAGGACACCAATCATATTGGATTAGGGCCCACCCATATGACCTTATTTTACCTTAATTACCTCTTTGAAGGCCCTATCTTCAAATGCAGTCACATTCTGAGGTACTGGGGGGCGGGGGTTAGGCCTTCAAGATATGAATGGGGGTTGAGGGAAAGGCCACAATTTAGCCCACAACAACAACCATTACCACATCTAATTTTAGAACATTTTTAGTAGATCAAGGGTTTGGATCCCCTTACTGGCCAGCCGCCAAAAAACAACAACAACAAAAGAACATTTTTATCACCCCCCAAAGAAACCCTGAACCCATTAGGAGTCATGTTCTATTCCACTCCCACACTCCAGCCCTGGGCAACGATTCATCTGTTTTTTGTCTGTAGATTTTGCCTATTCTGTACATTTCATATAAATGGTATCATACAATATGTGGTCTTTTTTGACTGGTTAGTAGTGATGTCCCCTCTTTCATTCCTGATTTCAGTAATTTGGCTATTTTTTTTCCTTAGTCAATCTAGCTAAAGGTTCATAAATTTTGATCTTTTCAAATTGCTGTAAAGAAAATAGAAACAGTTTAGTCAGGTTTCCTCGCCTCTTATCAGGCAGAACACGATTCAGCACATTTCAGCTTGTATGCTGTGAACAAGTGATATAAGAGAAGTGTAACTGCGCACGTGTGCTTATGTAATCTTTGGCTTATTGCCACTATTGTGTACTTGTAGTGTAAGAGACAACTGCTCTGTATTGGGGGTCAGCGGAGCAGGGAGAGCTGGCAGAGCTCACGTCTGGAATAAAGCATGTCCGTTGTGCCTAAGGCTGCCAGAATCTTCTTTCAACTACCTGACTCATGACCTGCACAGGATGGGGCAGAGGGATCTGTGATCTCAACCTGACAATCGCTAACTTTTGTCTTCACTTTTTTTTTCCTGTTATTTTTCTATTCTCTGTTCCATCTATTTCTTCTCTAATCTTTATCATTTCCTTCCTTATGCTTGCTTTTGGATTACTTTGCTCTTCTTTTTTTAGTGTCTTAAGGTGAAAGCTTAGGTTGTGAATTTGAGCTCTTTCCTCTTTTTTAATTTGGGTGTTTATTGCTGAAAATTTCCCTCTAAGTGTTGCTTTAGCTGCATCTCATAAATTTTGGTATGCTATGTTTTTGTTTTCATTGATTTCAAAGTGTTTTCTAATTTTCCCTGTGATTTTTTTTCTTTGACCCATTGCTTATTTAGGAGTGTGTTAATTTCCACATATTTGTTAATTTTACAGGTTTCTGTTATTGATTTCTTTTTTAAAAAATCTTTTTCATTTTTTTTCTGTTATTGATTTCTAATTTCACTCCATTGTGGTCACAGAATGTACAGTCATGTGTCATTACAACCTTTTGGTCAATGATGTACAGCATACATGACAGTGTTCCCATAAGATCATAACACCGTATTTTTACTGTACCTTTTCTATGTTTAGATACACAAACAATTACCATTGTGTTACAATTGCCTACAGAATTGAGTACAGTAACGTGCTGATGACTGTACTTTGTATTATTTTAATCCTTTTAAATCTATTGAGGTATGCTTTATGGTCTACCATATTGTCTGTCCTGAAGAATGTTCTTGTGCACTTCAGAAAAATGTATATTCTGTTGTTAGTTGCAGTGTTCTATAGATGTTAGGATGCTTTCTTGAAATGTAGATTTTTTTAGGCTATGCGCCCTGAGTCCTCTGCCCCAGGGCCTGGATTCTGTATCCGTAATAAGTTCTCCACATCCTTCCTGCGCAGTATCCACGGATCCGGAACCCACGGCCCCACAAGTCGTCTACGTCTGGCGTTCTTTGATTCAGTTACTGCAAGTGAGTAACTGTGGTGTTGTCATCGATCGCTCGGATAAGCTTTTCTATTGCTCTAGTCTTGCTGCCAGGTCCGCGGAAAAGCGAACCTGTGCTCTCAGGCTCGGCTTCCGGCTCATTCTGCCTGGGCCGAGCTGCTGAGGGATTGGGCCGCCTGGGTGTCACGTGGGCCGGACCGGATGATGGCGGACGCTCGGGAGGATGCACGAGCTCTCTTCGGGGCCAGCGTCCGCGCTGCACTAGAGGCCTGGCCGGCCTTGCAGGTGAGTGGAGCCACAGCAGGGTCAAGGTTAGGGGCCGGGGCAGAACAGGAGCTGGCAGGGCGAGGCGCCTGAGGCTTGGATGGTTGTTGTAAGCGGCGGACCCTCAGGCCGTCCTAGGCCGGTTCCCAAGCTGACGTGGGCTTGGACCTCTGTTCGCAGATCGCTGTGGAGAATGGCTTCGGTGGCGTGCACAGCCAGGAGAAGGCCGAGTGGCTGGGGGGTGCGGTGGTGGAGTACTTTATTCGCAATGGTGAGTGAATGTGAGGCGCTGCAACCAGTCTGTCGGGGGTGTGGAAAATAGGAGCCGCGTGCTGGAGAGCCTCCACTTCCTTCTGAGCAGTTGCAGGTTGGGAACCTGAAGGCGAGGTGGAATGAATACCCTTTGGAGTCAGAGTCCTGGGTTCGAATGCCTTACGGGCTGTGCCACTAACTCAAGTTATCATCATGGACAAGGCATTTTATTTTTATTTTTTTAAAAAGATGACCGGTAAGGGGATCTTAACCCTTGACTTGGTGTTGTCAACACCACGCTCTCCCAAGTGAGCTAACCGGCCACCCCTATATAGGGATCCAAACCCGTGGCCTTGGTGTTATCAGCACCACACTGTCCCAAGTGAGCCACGGGCCGGCCCTGACAAGGCATTTTAAAGACTCAGTTTCCTAGTTCCTAAAGTGGGTATAGAAAATATCCACTCCTGCGCTGTCCAATAGAAATATCATGTGAGTCACATCATGTAATTAAAAATGTTTGGCAGCCACTTTAATGAATTAAAAAGCAGAAGAAAGTATTAATATATGTCATTCAACTCAGTATATTCAAAATATTTCAACACATAAATAGTATAAAACATTATTGAGATATTTTACACCTTTTTAGTGTTAAACTTTCAAAATCTGGTATTTTATACTTTTAGCACATCTCAGTTTGGCCTAACCATATTTGAGGTGCTCAGTAACCACATGTAGCTATTTGGACACCAAAGATCTACATCTGAGGGTTGTCTTGAGAGTTATACAAGAACGAGGGGCCCAGCAGAGGGCTCATTGCATAGTATGGTTTTTGCGAAATTCTTCATTCTTTAGCTTTGGAGATGACGTTAGGCAGGGTCATTTCTCTCAGGAAAGCTTACTATCTAGTGAGGGATCAATACAAGTAAACAGACAGTTACAACACTGGACGATAGGTGTGCTGATAAAGAGGAGCCCAGGGTGCTTGGGGTAACATGAAACTGGGGAGAAGCCTTCTCAGGGGAGGTGGTGATTGGACTGGGTCTTAAGAGATGAGGAGTTAACTAGGTGGGGGAGGCAGAGAGAGCAACACTCAAGTTCTGTGGTATGAGGAGGTAATGTGCTTTATTTGAGTAAGGGTGTGTGCCATATTGGGGGTGAAGGAGCCTCCTCGCTCCTCCTCCTCCCGGAAAAGGGCAAGGCATGGAAGGCCTGATGTACCTTTGATTTTGTACTTTAGGCCAGTGTTTGCCAAAATGCATGCTATGGAAGACTAGTCCCAGTAGATGTTCAGTGAAGAAAAAGCTTCTCCAGTCAAATTATGTAAGAAAAGCTCTTTTCTTCAACACTCATTAACATATTAAAGGCTTGGATAAGAACCACTAAAAAGAAACTTGTTTGCCTTTGTTTCCCATTAGCTTTCAGTGGACAGCTTCCCTTAAAACCCAGCAGAATACATATTTCTCAAAGGCAAAGTATGAAACACTGCAGTAGGTGATAATTCATGGGCAGGTTCTAAGGTGAGTAACAGGATGGGATTTGCTGGCTAGAAAGTTCAGGATGTAATCAGTACGGAGCATGGACTGGACAGGGAAAGACTGATGAGAAAGCTGTTTTTGTCTAGAAAAATGATGAGGCCTGAAGTAGGGCAGTGGCAGTAGTCATGGAAAAGAAGGGGCGGATTAGGGCCTTGGAGATTGCTTGGCCATAGACGGGCGGGGGAAGAAGAGGAAAGTTTCTGGTTTGAGTTGCTGGGTAGATTAGGTGCCTTTCATGGAATGGAGGAACCCTGGAGGATGGATGAGAAGCCGGTTTGGAGAGTAAGGTGATGAATCTGGCTTTGGACATGGAGGGTCTGAGGAACCTGCGAAACATTCAGGCACAGGGTAGTCTGAGTTGGAGATGGATTTGGGGGATTTCAGTTGTCCCTCAGTATCTGTGGGGGATTGGTTCCAAGACGCCTGAGGTTACCAAAATCAGTGGATGCTGAAGTCCCTGATATAATAGTGTAGTATTTGCATATAACCTATGCACATCCTCCCATATACTTTATTTAAAAAAAAAACAAAAATTTTTTTTTTTTTTTAAAGATGACCAGTAAGGGGATCTTAACCCTTGACTTAATGTTGTCAGCACCACGCTCAACCATTGAGCAAACTGGCCATTCCTATATAGAATCCGAACCCGGGGCCTTGGTGTTATCAGCACCTCACTCTCCCGAGTGAGCCACAGGCCGGCCCTAAAAAAAAAATTTTTTTGTGTGTGGCTGGCCAGCACCCTAGGCCTTGGTGTTACCAGCACCACACTCTAACCAACTGAGCTAACCGGCCAGCCTTTTCCCATATACTTTAAATCGTCCCTAGATTACTTGTAATACTTAATACAATGTAAATGTTATGTAAATATTTGCTATACTGTATTGGTTTTTATTTGTATTATTTTTTATTGTCGTATTGTTACTTTTTATTGTTTTTTTCCCCTGAATATTTTCGATCCTCAGTTGCTTGAATCTGCAGATGCATAACCCAAGGATAATGAAGGCTGACTGTATTAGGTTTGAGTGGTAGGGAAAGACAAGGGGATGGATGAGCTCTCCCAGGGAGAGCATATACAAGGAAGAGAGGGCAAGGAGATTTGTGGAAGAGTTTCTTGAGTTATTCTCTAATTCAGAAAAAGTAGAGCATGGGCCCATAAAATAACCGAGGCCCAGACAGGAGGGCTCAGCCAACATCACACAGTAGGATGTTGGTGTCAGGGTGTGACAGTTTTATCATTGGAAGTACTACCTCCATTTCTTCTTACCTATCCATTGGTCTGTGGCTTCCTATATCAGTGGAGCCACAGTTGTGAAGGGTCTCTACACTTCCAAAACTTTAGCCCTTGAGTGATGGAAATTAACATGGATTATGGATCTTTCCTGTGCCAGGCATTGTGTTGGATGACTCCTCATAACAGACCTTCAGGGAAGCCACTATTAGCCCCACTTTAAAAATGAGAAAACTGAGACTCAGAGTGGCTTAAGGTCACATAGAGGGGAGGCCAGTTAGAACAGGCCAGATGAAAGAGGGTGAGTGTGAGGAGGCTGGGGCTGCAGGATTATAGGGCTTGGTAGTGTTTAAGAGATTGGAAATTAGGTATTAGTATTTAGTGGATTTAAAAAAAAATCATGTTAAAACCTAGAATGCAGAGCACTTTGGTGAGTGAAAGGCTCACTGTTTGGGTCTTTACCCACCAATCAGATGCGGATCCACTAAGTAGGTATTGAAGAGTAGTGGTCGGGGTCATGAATTTGGCTGGTCTTTGACCCTAAAGGCCCTATTCTTTCCTACTCAGCCGACTTGGAGCTAGATGAGGTGGAGGACTTCCTGGGAGAGCTGATGACCAATGAGTTTGATACGGTTGTGGAGGATGGGAGTCTGCCCCAGGTGAGTTTATCATGGACACAACTGCCATCTCCCTGCGTGCAGTCTTTCTTCTCCCCAAGACTCTTGGCTGTAACCATTCGTCTCTTGGGTCTTGCCCAAGACCCTTCTATGACTCCCTGTTGCCTAGAGAAAAAGTCTAGTCTTCCAAGGCCTTTCCAAACCCTGCCTCTATTCTGTTTCTCCCCATATATCATTCCCAGCCAGGCCTGTTCCTCCCAAGGGCAGGTCAGGCTAGGTACATTTTCATCCTTGCTGTGGTTAACATTGCTCCCCTTGATGAGACTACCTTCCCCTTTATATCTTCCCTCTTTCAGAGCACAGTTCTAGTGCTTTCTCCGCTAGGAAGCCTACCTTCGATGCTTCAGGACCTCACCTGACCCCTTCAGATGTGGTTGCTTCATTGGTGAACTCCTTGGGGAGGAAAGAGCCCCATTCTCTTCTGGGAAATTCCATCCCCTTCCCTACTTGTGATACAAACATGGGCTGATTGTATACTAGATTCTCTGGAAAATCCAAGCCGGTTGATTGTTTTCTTGGTAGGTGAGCCAGCAGCTGCAGACCATGTTCCACCACTTCCAGAAGGGTGACGGGGCTGCTTTGAGAGAGATGGCCTTCCACATCACCCAAAGAAAGTGCAGGGTCACAGCAACTGCACTTAGGACAGCCAGAGAGACTGATGAGGATGAAGATGGTGCAGACAGTGTGGAAGAAATGGAGGTGAGGGGGGTGCCCCTTGGGTGGGGGGATACAGATGTTTTCAATTTTCTGGGAGAGCAACTTCATAGGGAAGTGATGAGGGGGGTTGTTAGTGGTGGTATTATCCAGAGAGGTCAGGGAACTTTCCTAAGGTCACACAGCCAATCCTGGAAAAGCTGGGAGCAGAGCCTGGGTCTCCAGTGGCCAATTTACTTAGCTCTCTCTTGTATTTCTCCTCCAGGTCACAGCTATGAATGATGGGGCTGCTACAGATGGGGTCTGCCCCCAGCATGAACCCTCTGATCCAGATTCCCAGACTATTAAGGAAGAAGATATAGTGGAAGATGGCTGGACCATTGTCCGGAGAAAGAAATGAATGGGAATGGAAATGGTTTGGGCCCTCGTTGGCTGGTTGTTTTGAGACTTGTTTATTATAAGGACTTTTTTGGAGGGCTGTAGACCTCTGGACTGGTTACCTATCCCCCATCCTCTCCCTTGTTCCCCTGTCCAGCTCCCTCCAGGGGAAGAAAAGCCCTAGGGATCTTTGGTCTTGGGGGTGGTGGAGCCTGATCTACCATACCCTCTCAGGCCTCAAGTTACCATCTGAGTGATGAGGCCAGGTTTCCCAGCACAGTGCCCCTTGGGTGCAGTAATTGTGAAGAAGGGGGACTAGTGAGTTTGGATGTGGCTGGAGAAGGAGCTAAGACACTGACAATGGGCAGGTGGATTTGTGAAGAAAGAGGACCAGTGGGAGAACTAGTACTCAGCACCAGGGGGCTGGCTGGGTCAGTGAGATGAACATGCACATGGAAGAGAGAATAGTTGAAGATTCGAATGAAAGTAGCTGTGGTGCCTCTTTACCCCACCATGCCCACACAAAGTAGCTCTGTACCCCTGCCCAGAACTTGGAATTTCCCAGGAATGTCCCCTTCTTGCAGCCCAGCCTCCAGCCCTGAGTTTCCTTGGGAATTCTGAGACCTGGGCTAGGTGGTGAGCTTGGGAGAGCTGGGCTTTCTTTTCTGTCTCCTCCATCTTCTTTCCTGTCTATCCCATCTGATTTAAGTCCAGGGATGAGGCTCAAGACCTTAATAAGTAATACCTTATTGTTTAATCTGTGGCTTGAGTAGCCTTGGAATCAGCTTTCTGGGAGCTGAGCTTCAGAGTTTGGCAAGGGAGCGGTTACTGGGCCCACCCTAGCAACTTGGTACTTTGGACAAACAAACAGATGGACGGATGGAGCACAGTAGTGCTCGGAAAGCTACTGTAAGCCTGAAATAAACTGTATTTTTCTTTAAAAAAAAACAACAACAGTGTCCACATTGTCTTTCCCCCCATCCCCCTGTCCTGCCCAGTGGCCCTGCCATGGGTCTGGACGATAAAATACTGGGTAGCCTTGGGGCTGGGAAGAAGCTGTAAGCTGTGGGAAACGCAGGAGGGGTCTAGTCACCACCCCATGTGGAGTCATACTTGTGGAGACACGGGTTGAGGAGGCAGGGGTGGGTTGGGGCCCCAGGGTTAGTTGCAGAGCTGGCTAGTTGCAGAGCTGGCAGTTGAATCCAGTTCTCCTGCCCCCAGTGTTTTGGGGGGAATCAGGTGGAGGCAGGATCTGTACGGTGTTGTTGGAAGGGAGGGAAAATGGCCTAATTCAGATGGGTCTAGCAACAGCTCCCACCTTCCCTGGGGACAGGGATTAAAAAAAAATTAACATCACTGTGGGAATATTTTTTTTAAAAGCCCACATTTTGTGAAAAGATGAATAAAAAGCCCAAGACCCAGCATTCAGGATTGAAAGTGCCCATGATGGGAATTCAAGTATTGACTGAGCTGGGGGGGGG